CTTTATAATACTGTATATAATGAGTCATGTTTTTAACTGATCCTAACTGATTTTATTATTATTATCTGTATCAATGCTGGAATTACATGTGTGATCATGCTGGCAAAAAATAGGATGTTATTATACTGACACTGATAGTGACAGTGAACAGTGAACTCTGATGAGTGCTGAATTTGAATTTAAAAATTGAAAAGAGCACGTAACTCGGCCCCCGGTCAATCCCAATGGATGTGCTGCTCAAAGGTGCTCCCTCCTACCTATAGAGCTGCTTTCTTTTTTCTCCTTTGCTAGAGATCCCAGATCCCTGCTGGTCCTGGTCAAGGCAGAGCCACGCAAAAAAGCTGAAGGCGTAACCCGGCCAGCGCTGAACGGTGGGCACTGAAATCCCTGCCATGCTGGGGGAGAGATCGAAGTACTGCAGGGCATTTTCCAGCCCCTGTTTGCGGGCCATGCCCAGGATGGCTCTCAGGACTGGCACCACATAAGGGTGGGCCTGCTTGGGATCATCAGTCCTCAGCAGCCTCATCAGCTGCAAGAGCTCCTTGCTGCTCAGCGACTGGCTGCCCAGAGATCCGAAGAGACTGATCAGGTTCTCGGCGCAAGTCCTGTGAAGTCTGCTATGACAGTTCAGGGTATCCAGGATGTGGATAACCATGGAGGCGTTGACACAGGTGGTGCGGCTCTGCCGGTTTATGCAGCAGATCCGTTTTAGCCAATCGGAGATGAAGATCTGGAGGTCGTGGGATTCCAGGTGCGGCAGCCACTGGATCAGCAGCAGCAGGGGCTGGACGTTACTGATGCCCAGGATTCCCACCGACGCGGGATCTCCTTCGACGGCCTGGAATTTCAAAGCGGGTCACACTCAACGTCGTCATTCACAACCTTTTTAGAGAAGCACGCACATTTCAAAATGGCACGGTGACTGTAAATCGCAGTTTAAATCCATGGATTGTATGGAAAAGAAATTTCAGAAAAATAAGTTCTGTACATAAGAAACACTGTATGGTACAGCGATTCCATGCTGAAATGGAAAACAAGTTTTGCCGGCTATGAACCATAAGTTTCTCATAATATACATGCATATATTACGTATATTCACTCAACTGATTTATCTCTTAGGCAGGGAAAATAGACTACACATAATGTTAGGCCACTTATGCCAGTTAAGTTCAAACCCAATATCAAATCTAAGAAGAGAATCCATTTTTTCAAAGGCGCTTTTCAATATTTCAATGCTTGCACCCAACAAGAGTGTGACAAGAACTGAACCCCCAAGAAGAATGGATATTAATTTCTGGAAAATCATATTCCACTCGCTGAGAAGCACTGTGTACGGTGTACTGCGTACGCAGTGTACAGTATATACAGTATAGTTTTGGATCCAGAAGAGAGACAGTCCGGTGCGTCCCAGACGTGCTCCATTGGATTCATGTTAGGTGAAGGTAGGGCCAGTACATCACACAAATGACATGCCAGGAAAATCTGCAAACCATGACATGCCTTACATTATAAATGCGAGGCTGTAATTTGCCAACAAACTGAATTTGTATAAATTTACAATTCAAATTTTAATTCCTTAACAAACAAATTAAACTGCCAAGAAAGGTGTAATGTGTAGGACAAGAATACTGTTTCCATATGTACTGCATAATTAAGGAGCCACCTACTCTGAGCAACACCCACACTGTATTATAGCCTATTTCATCACACCTCCAACCACTGAAATGGTCCAATTGTGCAACACAACATGGATGATGTCTCTTTGGCTATAGTACTGTCATGGCCTACCACTGTGCCAGAACTGATTCGGACTGGGCCAGACTGAACCATGGCTTGTCACTGAATACATTCCAGCTTTTTCAAAATCAGTTTCAATTCAATCCAATACTTTATTGCCACATCAACAAAGCTGATTGGAATTTTCTCTAATGGGGGCCAGATAAAAACACCAAAAAGACATAATCATTGTTTTTAGCCAGTTTCTGCTATAATGACTTTACACCCAAGACACAACATGTTGCCCTCTGCCAGTTATACCTCGCCACATCAACTTGCACATGTTAAACTCTAACGCCTTTATCTTCAAGAGCTACAGTCTTATTATAGTGGAGATGACCTGTCCACAGTAACACCATTTTTGTCACAATTTAAACTCATTTCAATCCTTCACTGGACTGCGCTGTGATTCCTTACATCCCTACACTGCAGACATGATAATATCAACCAGTGCGCACCCACATCCATGGAGAACCGAGACACCCAGATATTGCTGCACCTCAGCATCTCAAAGGCCTCTTCTTTTCTACCACTGTGATTGCGACACACTCTCCCTGGCCTTTTGTACTTACTTTCACAGGTTCAATAATGTGTTAATATTGCACTGATCACATCCGCTGTTGCACATGTGATAAACATTTTATCATATACTGTATGGTGTGTTAAAGACACGCAAGATTGAGTTGGGATTTTAACATTTAGTTAAATGGTTGGCAATGAAGTGAAATTTTTTCAATAGAAAACCTGTATACTTCTGGTGAAATACTGGAACCAAAATCATTTTGTGTTTTTAATTTCTTTCAGTGTATATATACCCATGATATATATACACGTGTATTACAGTGTCAATTAATTAATGACAATATCTAGACTGAATGGACGAATGACAGGAAGAGCTTAGAACTTAAAACAATAATGATTTTAGCTGTAGTTAACATTTAACTAAAATCTCTGGTTGTACCTTTAAAATAAAGTTAGCTTGAAAGAACTGAAAGAAACAAAAGCTGCAAACATTCTGGCCTTTATTATTTATTGGTGCGATTTCTTTCCAAGCCTGTACAGTCAGGATTAGTGCACTTTTCTGATAATAGATTTGCGACTGCTTACGAGTAAACCCCGATGATAGTGTGGTTTAGAAGAGAGAACTGGAAATTTCATTCCAGATATTGTCACATATCAACGTGGCAAACAGCCATTTTATAACAGCCTATAAAGGCAGGGAGGGAGACCAGGTCAGAATGGTTGGATGACTTGAGAATTACATAAATGAAATGACTACGCCCACACTCTAAAAAATATATGCAGCTTGTTTTCTTCTTCTTAGTGCCTTCTCCTGTTATGCCCCCAAGCTATGGAACTCTCTGCCCAAGGATATCAGAGAGTCACCTTCTCTAAACTCCTTCAAATCCAGACTCACAACCCTCTTCTTCAGAAAAGCCTTTACTTAACTGATTCAATTCTTTACCCCTCAGCTTTTCTTAGTACCACCATCCACGGTCTCCTCTGTATATTGTAATCGTGTTTTATCTTGTGTATTCTTTTTATTTATTGTTGTTGTCATCCTATAAAGCGCTTTGAGAAGCCACCTTTAAAGGCTCTATATAAAATAAAGTTTATTATTATACTGGAACTGTTACCTGCTCTAGCATTTTTTTCAGTTTTCTAACAGTAATTGCAGTGCAGGACACATAGCATTCACAGCAAGGGACTAGGGGTGCAGACACTTTTGTCAACAAAGTGCACAACTCAATTTGTATTTTAGGCACACTTACAAAACTAATGTTCTGGTTTACAACATTAGGACACTTCATGTGATCTGTCTTATTCCCATTGTAAATTCACAAGGGCAATTACTGAGCCAGGGCTTTCACAGGTGGAGATAAAACTCATCTGATTTGTGAGACATTTCCAGATTTTATCTATGACTGCAGAAGTATGGGCATAAGGCTTCTTAATGACTCACCATGTTCATCAATTCTTTCAGGAGGTCCCTTGAAGGTTGTCCCAGGGAGCTCAGTACTTCGTACAAATGAATGTATCCGATCCTCTCTTTAAAGACCTCCTGAGGAGGAAATGATAACAGAACACAAGCAGAAGGATGTAAGAAGTTTTAATATCACAGTTTATGGCACCAGCTCTAGGAATGCATCAGATGCGTAAAGACCTAGGAGTTTGCCTTGAAAAAGGAAAAAAAACAAATGGAGTTTTTCCACTGAAGCACTCAGATCAAACCCTTTACTTTCAGTAAGAAGAGCTGGCTAAGAATAATGGGAAAGGAAAAGTGAATAGCAAACATTGCATCTCTGGATTGCTGAATTTTAGGATGAACAACAGGATGAAACAGGATGAGCAACAGGATGAAAAATTGGAGAATATTAAAGTCTGACATTCTTGAAATGAAAAAGCAGCCATATCACACTGCAACTCACAACTGGCAGCCCACTGAAGCTCAGCAGGTGTGAGCCTGGTCAGTACCTGGATGGGAGACCTCCTGGGAAAGCTAAGGTTGCTGCTGGAAGAGGTGTTAGTGAGGCCAGCAGGGGGCACTCACCCTGCAGTCTGTGTGGGTCCTAATGCCCCAGTATAGTGACGGGGACACTATAATGTAAAAAGGCGCTGTCCTTAAGATGAGATGTAAAACCGAGGCCCTGACTCTCTGTGGTCATTAAAAATCCCAGGGCTTTTCTCGAAAAGAGTAGGGGGGTTACCCCCGTGTACTGGACGAATTTCCCATTAGCCTTTACCAATCATGGCCTCCTAATAATCCTCATCTCTGAACTGGCTTCATCACTCTGCTCTCCCCACTGATAGTTGGTGTTTGGTGAGCCTACTGGCGCACTATGGCTGCCATCGCTTCATCCAGGTGGGGGCTACACATTGGTGGTGGTGGAGGGGAGTCCCCATTACCTGTAAACTGCTTTGAGTGGAGTGTCCAGAAAAGCGTTATATAAAGCGTAAGGAATTATTATTATTAAAAAAGGAAACTTCCGGAACATGATTTTCTACTTGTAGTGCCAAAAGGCAGAGCTCCCCCTCATGGCATTATCACTTTGACACAGCAGGACCCCAGCCAGCTGAGACAGGACCTTACTTCGCTCGTCCCATGGACCTTGGCTGTCCCATGTGAGCATGGGCAGCAGACACCAGAGCACAGAGGCATGCTGCAGATTTGGAGTGACTGCAATTGCGTGCCAAGGTCCTGTTTTGGTTTTTGCATACTGGTGAGTTCGAATTAAAAAATAAACTGCATACTGAATATGAAAAGCGCTGAAGAAAATGTGACACCCTGAACGATATAAGCACATAGAAAATGATGCACACCATAAATGTAATGCCTTATCATCACATGGAAAACTACACATACCTAAACGTCCTTAATATGAATTGCGTTTTAGTAACATGCAATACAGAGCATAAGGACAGCTTTGATGTGTGTATCTCAATAATAGAAAGCGCTTTATATGGTTCAATGTACTTAAAATAGTGTTTTTTTCCAATAAGTGGTAGAAGTGGCATTTGTATATTTCCCTGTTGATTTTGTTTTGCATTTTAGTATTTTAAAGCCTCATTAAGTGCTATCCCATTGAAGAAAGACTCACATTAAGTGGAATTTTTGCAGCAGAGATAACATAATATACTGTACTATATATCAAATAAACACTGATATTATAGCATAATGTGGAGGAGGTGTTAGACTTTGTATTCATATACAGTAGTTGTTTCTGGTGATTACATGCCATTATACTATTTTTAGTACTCTACATTAAATTGAGGCACGTGTTTTCTACAACAGCTGTTTTAAAGTGTCCTTAAGAATCTCAGAGTCAGTAATAAACAGGTTTTCGCTCATATCTGTGAAAGTTTGTTTTCTAAATGTAGACCAGAGATGCTGCAATATAACACTGTCATTTACTTGTTCTTAATTCCATTCACAAACTTTAGAAATACACTGTTTTCTCATCATTATTAATTCATGGAGACTAACCACAAATGTCAATGACTTCTTATAATAAATTGTAATCCCTATTCAGACAGCTGTGGTGATTGATTCACAGGGGCTAAATGCCATAAGATAATAGTGAGTATCAATGCATTTTATAGATTTACAAATTCCATGTCCTGATGTTGTAACCAATTTGAGTGTTTTTGACCAAAATCATATGGGCGACACAGATCAATAGATAACGTCAGCACGTCCACATTTAATGAACTCTATTACTCTGGTTTAACATACCTCAATATCTGAGCACCCAAATCAGCACAGTCATTGCCCCACGCTTTAAGATCATATATATCACTATAACAATGATTAAACTATTTTCTTCTTTTGTTTTTGCATTTCAATTTCTGCATATATCCTATCTGGCTCAAAAAGCATTTGTATTCTGCACTTCCTGTCCTTGAGTTACCAACCCAAGAAGAGAACCAGTCACTTCTGTGACAGGCACATGTGCTACATCATCGTTAAGCCCACACTTGGTAGTCCGACAGGCCATTTCACATTGACTAAAGCATAGTTCCGGCTCAGCTCAACACATCAGCCAGTGTGAATCAAGCTGTACTGTGAAAGCTTGGCTCAGCTTGGCTTGGGTGTGCCAGTATGAATAGCTCATATTATTCAGTCATCTTTCATTGACCTCAAAGGCTTACCTTTGCAGCAGGTGATTTTAGCATCACGGTAGTGAGAGCTTTTATTGATGACACAGCCAGGCAATCCAGACGTCCCTGAAACACCTAAAATATTAGAAACTATTAGCACAGTAAGGTCTCGCACAGAACGCCTCCAGTTTACGTACAGTACCAAGTGGTGCTCAACATCCTCCTTCTCCTTTTACAAAACCCAAGACATGCATATAACACAATGAACTGGAATCGAACTGAAAATGGAACAAGTAAAGTTTAAATCTCATAGGGTATCATGCCATGCCAATACAATGGATGATCCACAAATGCCATTCCCCATAATGAATGTTATACTTGACTGATAAGGGAAATAAACCTTGAAAGTTCACAATCACCTGTTTATTTAAGAGTTAAGATAGCTGCATCTCAAAATTAAATAGGTATGATTTGTCGTCATGTTCATTTTCTCCGATTATCCTTCAGTAAAACTCACATGGTAACGACATGCAGACTAACACCTTTAAAAAACAAAATTTTACATTAAATGACCTGCAGCCAATAATATGACAAAATATGCTTTTGGATATTATATTATCTTTGATGCAGGGCACTGAATGTACTGACTCTTCCAGTCTTAACAGGGTTTTTGTCTCATTACAAAAACTAAATCACTTCATATGGATGCTGCTCAGGGCTCAAGCTGTTGGCTGTCAGTGATTTATACAGTGGTTCTCTTCAGCCCAGTCACTTAAAGACACTGCAGCCAGCTCATGAATGCGAGCACTGTAGAGTTTATCAAAGGCCCCTTCTGCGGGTTCAAAACCCCACTTGAAGCCTACTGTATCTTGCTAGACAGGAAATAAAGCGAGGCCTGGCTGAAGAGAGATCTTGAAAGACAGAGTCGCAGGCACAAAAACGGCACGTTATCCCCCTTGCTGCCACAGACATTGACGCACTGCTGAACACATAGATCTTATAAGCACACCCAAGGCCCAACACCACATAGCTGAGATGAAAAAAAAAAAGCCCAGATATAAAAAAAAAGGAATACAGAAAAAACAAAACCCCCAACAACATGGAACAGCAACCAAGAAAACCATTCCATTCTAAGGCCATATATTCAATTTCTAGAATGTGAAAATGGAGTAATGCGAGTCCTTTTGACAGTGTCAGAGACAGAAGGAGGAACTGCTGCTCTGCATATAAGTCTCAGTGAATATAATGCCATCCGGTGGGGAAAAAAAAAACAGAAAAAAATAACTTAAATCATGAAAAAAAACAAGAAATAACATTTTAAAGTCTTAAAAATCTTGAAATGTTATTTATCACTATACCCAACAAAGTAGTTAGGCTGAGTGGCTTTCCATATGTTCTTATACTCATACATACTACAGTATAGGGCCGCTGACTATTTTATACTATTTTTAAAGAAAGGTTGGTTTTCTTTATCTTATCTGCTCCTACTGCCATCACATCAAAGACATCAAAGACGTGTAAAGATCTTTGCTCTGTTTTGTGGCAAATTTGCGACATACTGCACGATACATTATCCATGATAATGCAAAAGACCTGTTTTTTTTTTAAAAAAAAAAACTCATTTTCAGATTGTTTTAACCAAAAGGGAGGGGGGGGAGGGGAAGCAAGACTCTTAATTACTTAAAAATGTCCAATGAGAAAACACTTTCAAAACACTATTTTTTCTCTTATTCATTGGCAGAGGAAAGGCTGTATAACCATAATTTGTGCAGCAAAACATATATGGCCAATTAAACACACAAACACACAAAGACAAGCTCAGTGCACAACAGCGTGGAAATGAAAACCAAATGAGTCAATTTATTGGACTCTACAGTAAAAAGCTGATATTGGAGGACCGCAAGTGCTGGCTTGTTCACAGGCCTGGAATGGTTGTCTGGTTGCTTTGTATTTGGTAGAGGAAGCAACGAGATGCTGGGAATACCTGGTATTCATTCATTTCTGTCAGTAATTTGTTGGCAAAATCTTTCTTGCTCTTGACTTCTGCCTTACATCTAGCATTTACAACCAGCTGTTGAATGAACAATAAGCAATATAAGAGTTTTAAAAACCTCATAGAAATTACTCAGGCTCCTGGTAGTACCTGCATTTAATAAAAATGACAGTTAAGGCAGTATCCATCTTTGGGCATGACACAGCTAATGGAAAACAGCTACAGACACAGCCCCACATTTATCCCCCACATCCACTATCTCAACAAATGAATGACATCAGTTCAACAGTCTAACACAATTATAGCCCTTTTGGCCATCTGGCACTTTCAGACTAACCTGTTGAATACACCCTTCTGAAAAAAACAAACGTCGCTTCGAAGCAACTCATACAAATCTCTTGTTTTGTCAGTGAGGAACGTGACCAGGAATATGTCAGTATGGGCCTTACAGGCTCAGAGAAAAAGTTCTCGAACTTCTTTGCTTGAACTTGACCTTGATAAATGTTTTTTTGAACCTTCTTCTTGTAGAAAACCTCTCTTTACTAGACAGGTATTCAGATTGTTCCAAATGGTAATAATACTCCTGAAAGCTAAAAGGTGGTAGGAGAATCATATCTTACAATGAGATGTGCACCCTAACAAGGATACCACTTTCATGTCTT